GGTCTTGATTTAAAAGTCAGGTATATGCTTTGATCAGCTACTGGATGAAGTCTCCTGCATGTCTTTCTGTGATTGGGTTACCTCACTCATGATGTTTTCTTCAAGTTCCATCCATTTGCCTCCAGAAGCAGGCACCCACAGCTAAACACTGAGCCATAGGCCTGGAATCCAGTTGTGGAGAGGGAGGAGGGATGAACAAAGGACCCAAGATGGGGCTGGAGAAACCTGCATAAACAGTTCACCTGACCTAGTGAGAGCATGGAGACCGTAGTGTAAAGTTGGGAAACCAGCATTGGATGGAACCAAACCCTCTGAATGTAGGTGCCAGCTAGGAGGCCTGGACAGTCTATGGGAGCTCTAACAGTGGAGCCAGTGTTTAACCTTAGTGCACAAATGGACTTTGGGAGCCCATTCCCTATCGAGAGATACTATTGCAGCCCAGATACACGAAAGAGGGCCTAGACCCTCCCCCAAATGATGTGATGGACTTTGATGGCCCCTGTGGAGGGCCTCACTATCCTTGGGGAGTGGGTGGGGGTGGGTTGGGGGGTCAGTGGGGTGCATGGGAGGTCGAGGGAATGGGGGATTGATATGTAAAATATGATTGTTTCTAAAATAAAAAAGTTAAAATTAAAAAAAAAAATCAGGTATATTAAAGCAAATATACCATGGGAGTGACATAACTTCTTGTGCTCCATAGCACGTTAAAACACAGTTATTTACAAACTATGCACATTTACAAAACAAGAAGTTGTTTAACCTCTCTCCACATGGAATCATTCCCAAGTAGAGGGTGGGGGAAGGCTATAGACTTACAAGGAAATTACAACCCATGAAACCCCTCCTAAATACCATACAAGTAGCAGACAATTGCCGGAAGAGGACTAAAACCCCTCTGATGTAGCTACTTGCAATTTATGTAGGGAACTGTAGTGGTCCAGCTTTTGTACACCACTGTTCATGCTGGAGTGCACATTTTAGTGATGTATTTGCTGGAGTCACACATGCTCCTGCAAGTAAACCTAATAAACCCATTGGCTCAACAAGCAGATATGGGGTGAATAATGTCTTTTGTCTGTTAGTTGTTTTCTCTAGAATGGGTTGGCAGGATCACAAGTCTGAGGGATAGAAAGGAAAATCCACAAAAGCTGATAAAATCCCCTGACTATGGCCTTGCCTCACTCCAACCTCTGCTTCCACTGTCGCTACATCTGACACCCTCCCACAGTTCTCTTATAAAAGCTCTTGTGACTACATTGGTTCCTCCAGAGCCATTAAGGATATTTCCTATATTTTGAAATCACTAATCTAATTGATTAAAAAATAAGGTAATATATTTCCCAGGTGCTAAGGATTAGGGTGTGGACTGCCACCCCCACGGGAGGGGCATGTTGTCTATTAGATTGTTAGTTAAGAGCACCTATTCTAGGTTAGTCTAACTGGATCCAATTTTGTCTGTAGTCATTAATCACTGAAATAAATATCCCCGGGAAAAATAATTAAGTATTCTAGGCTTTCATTTTCTCACCTACAAAATGTGAATATACAAAAAAGTAGGTATTTCCCAAGGGTAGATGAAGGTTAAAATAAATAACATTAGTAAAGTAGAAATAATTATACCAGATCCAGCATAGTTAGCAATAGTTGTTGTATCCACCCAGAACTAGAATGCTATAGTGACCAATAACTTAGGACATTAACCTAACAACAAAGACAGTTTGTTCAAGATGATGAGTTCTGTTTTAGAATAAATAATCATGTTTCTCTTGCTATATAATAATTCAGCTATCTCTATAAAATGCAATGGTGCATAGTTATACTTGACAACTTGAATTTTTTAAAACAGTGAGATTCTTTAAAAACAAAAAGGAAATTGTTTGGCAATAGCAGAACATTGCCATAGGAGCATTCCATTATAGTAAATATGGGCATAGACAAGGACATTGGGGCAAAGGATCAAAATGGGGTATTTTGAAACAATAATCTTCAGTCTGATTAATAAAAAGAGTGGTGTCATCTCCAGTCTGAACAGGCAGGTTCTGGCTAGATGTCCTGCATAAGTATTTATTGCATGAGGCGGTGACTGTGAAGCTGATGCTTCCAGCAGTCCTCAGTGATATCAGGCAACCATGCAGAACCCTTTTTTCACAACATCAAGGCATTATTTACTTGTAAGGTTAAGGTTGACAAAAGTGAATTCATTTTTTTTTACATGTTGACATTTTTTTCAAAGTAGTGATGTTAACTTTTTCTGGATATATGAAAAATTACACTTAAATCACTATAGTTTACTGTAGCTGCTGGCTCTCCTCAAGACTCTGACGACCCCTTAGTGAGTGCCATCTCTGCAGCAGGGCACTCGCCCCCAGAACTCCACAGCTGTCAGGGTACTTGTATCTGAACCCAGCCTTCATCCATCAACAGCCACGGGGATTCATGTACAGCTCACTATCCAGTGCCCAGAGGCTGCTGTAGTTATTATCCCATGATGACTGTAAGCACAGACCCTTGCTCCTTTTTTTTTTACTTTTATCTATCTCTAACCTGCAGCACAAACCACAGGACCACAGATAGGTTCCTGCTGTGGGAAGATAAGATACTGTTGAAGAAGAGTCCCATCTCAATTGCTTTGTCATATAGAGGGGTCTTCTTACCCTCCACTCTGCTCACACACACACACACACACACACACACACACACACTCCGGAACACACAGCAAGCTCAACAAGGAGTACAAGCTGAATACACACCACAAGCACATTTTAACCAGTAACAAAAATAATCAGATGCATTCTATAGGAAAATAAGATCTTCATTCAAGTGAAGACTGATAATTTGGAAATTTTAAAGACTTGAAGACTCTGTGTGTGTGTGTGTGTGTGTGTGTGTGTGTGTGTGTGTGTGTGTGTGTAAATGCATGCCACTATCAATGGAGGCCCATAGAAGCTGTTGTATCCCTTGTAGTCAGAGTTACAGGTGGTTGTGAACTGCTTGATGTAGGTGCTGGTAACCAAACTAGGATCCCCTGGAAGAGCAGGATGCTCTCTTCACCATTGATCCATTTCTCCAGCCCCTTCACTGATGTTTTTGTAATTTTTCTAACCATAAGTCCTGACTAAATTAAAATTTTATCAGATAAATGGATAAAAAATGAACACAGCTCTTACTTTTGCATGAACATAAGATCTCAAAATTGTCCAAAATTTAGTTCTTCCCATATGAGAAAAATGTGCTGAGAGCACAGGGGTTTAACAAAATCATATTTGTTAGTAAAATATGGGTTAGAAAAGTTAACAGTAACTGGTGAGATTAGAAAATCTTTTTCTTGTACAAAAATTCACTTAAAATAGTTAAGATTTCTTTATGTATATGGGTGCTTTGTCTGCATGTACATCTGCACACCACAAGGGGGCATTGCAATTCATTGGACTAGAGGTATAGACGTTGTGAGAAGCCATGTGGGTGCATGGAATTGAACTCAGGACCTCTGGAAGAACAGCCACTGCTCTCAGCTACTGAGCCATTTCTCTAGCTTTTTATTTACTTTAAGATATGCGTTGTTTATTTAATTTGAGGCAGGGTCTCACTATGTAGCTCTGGCTGGCCTAGAATTTTCTCTGTTGAATAGTTTGGCCTTGAACTCACAGAAATGTGGCTGCACCTGACTCCCAAATGCCAGGATTATTGGTAAGTTCCACCATGCCTGGCCCCACTTAAAAATAGTTAAAAACAACACAATTAAGCAAACCAAATTTAGCAAACAGGAACAAGTTGAAAGATGTAAACTGAGCTTTTAAAAAGGATCATTGAAAATATTATTTAGAAACATTTTTCTTACAAAAGTTGCATTTATTTTTATGTACATTTAAATTTTCTATATGCTGATTTATTAAATCTACCTTTCAGAGTTTTTTTGTTTTTGTTTTTGTTTTTGTTTTTTGAGACAGGGTTTCTCTGTGTAGCTTCGGAGCCTATCCTGGCACTCGCTCTGGAGACCAGGCTGGCCTCTAACTCACAGAGATCCGCCTGCCTCTGCCTCCGGAGTACTGGGATTAAAGGCGTGTGCAACTATCGCCCAGCTCAGAGTTATTTCTTTAGAAATAATTACTAAGTAAAATATTATGGAGATAGAGAAACAAACTAGTTTAGTTGCTAGCCAATGAATTAATTTTGACAAACTTGTTTTCAAATTAAAAATAGATGAAATATACATGTAACCTAAAAATTTTTAAGTGTTTCATGTATTAATATTATCGACGAAAAATTAAATGACAACGATATTTATTCCTTCAGCAGTACATTGTCCTCCAGCCTACTTGTACATATTTTATTTGCTGGCTGACTATTAAGCGATTATCCGCTAAACATAGAAAGGAGAAACTTTCCATCAAAGATGTGAAACAGGCTCTCTACTGTGTGAACAATGGGATACTTATGTCCAAGCCCAGCTGTGTAGTGCATTAGTTGCAAGAAGTGCTCATATATAATATTAACCCAATGCAATTCGAGATACTTCCCAATATTTCACTACATATTGCACTCAGTATTCACAGCAACCCTTTAAGTCGGGCATCATTATAATTATTAGTTTCAGAAGAAATCAAAGCAAATCTTAATTTGCAAACGCCAAGAATCAAATAATCAGTTTGACTCTGAATATTGCAAAAGTCACTACCACGTTATTCTGTCCGTTCTGCTGACACTGTTCAGATTCACGGATTCCACATCCTACTGGCAAAACGACGCTTTGCATCGTGGTTACGTCATACCTGCACATAAACAAGGACTCAACTGAGCATGAGCAAATCCACGTTCCCTGTCTTGATGGCAGAGGGCGGTCCTATCTCCTAGGCAACAGCCATTGGATACAAGCTGCAACTGCACGGAGCTCCCAACACCTACACCGGTGACGTCACTTCCTTTGGTCTGTGCAGTTGTCCTAGCGACACAGGCGGAAAGGCGGTGTTGGGTACCCAAGAGACCAGGCGGGTTGGAAGTCACTTCCTCCCGGGGACGCTGTTGCCTAGCAACCGCCTTCCACCTCCATCTTTTGCCCCGCCTCCTGCTTATTTCAATACCTGGTTTCACAGACTTCCAGGCCCTGGCCCAGGGCGACATCGGTGCTAGATCCCAGCCGCTGTGTTCTCAGGTGGTCATAGGAGCACGGACGCAGGCGGCGCGGGGTGGGTACAGGAGGCTGCGAGCCATGGGGCTCCGAGGAGCCGTGGGAACCGCGCTGGGTGTGCTCGGGCCTGGCGCGTGCTGAGTCGGGAGCCGCGCGGAGCTAGGGACACGGACGCCACCTGGCCGGCCCGGGGAACTCTGGGCGGTGGCCGGCTATCCGAATGGGCCTCCAGCATCCACAGCGAGAAACAGCGACTTTAATGCAGCCTAGTGTAATGCAGCCTGGTGTCGAGACGTCTTTGTGTGTTTTCTGTGTGAGAGCAAACGATGGCTTGGGAAAATGTTGCTGCTGTTTGTAATTAAGCATTGTTTTTGAATATGGATATATGCAAGGCATTTTTTTTTTTCCGGGGCAGGGAAGGGGTCATATAACCTTGACTCTGACAGACCTCTTGGTCTAGTCTTGAAATGAGTCATACTGTCATCTGCAATGCTATATTGTTTAATAATGGAAAGGTGAAAAATATTTGGCAACATTTGGTGCTCATGCAGTTTGCTCATCCTTAAAATAGTTGCAGTGCAGTTAACTTGCTTTTGTATTTTCTTTTCGTGAAAACAAATTTGTTGTGAGAATTTCATGTTTTTACTAAAACGCCGTTTATATTTTTAGGTGAAAATATAGGCCAGTGTTCAGGGCAGGTTCTCTTTATTTGGCAGAGAGGGCACTAACCCCATGTAAAAACGTCTAATTCTTTTATCTATTTGTGTATTTTTCAGGCACCATCAAAGGCTGAATGTATTATTTCACTTATTTATTAACAATTGTATAAAAGTAGAGGAAAAGGAATACACTATGTCTGATGAAATCTTCAGCACAACTTTGGCATATACCAAGAGTCCAAAAGCTACCAAGAGAACTTCTTTTCAGGTAAATATGTCAAAGCATTTTGGTTTTGAGTGTCCTAGGACTCAGCACTTGCTGATTTGCCGGGGCGTGGAGGTTGGAGAAAAGTGGGAGGAGTTCTTGCTTTTCTTTTGCTGTGTTGTAGCGGATCTGTCAACTTTGGACACCGGTATTAAAACACCCACATATGTGGCTACCCTTTCTTCAGTATTGGCTTCTAAGTTGAAAGTGAAAGAGCCTCTTCAGAGCCTATCTCTGTCTAGACTTCAGTTTTTCTGTTGTAAGCATAAAAAGGACTTACAGTTGGATCCCTACAATTTCAAACTCTTCATCCGTTTTTGCAGTATTGATTATGCCCATCTCTGCAGTAGGCTTAAAGTACCAGTTTCAAGGCTGAGGGAAAGTATGGCTCAGTGGTAGGCTCCGGGCCTACCATGCTTGTCAAACCCAAGCCCCTACCTCCCTCAGAATATACTGGCCTCTAACAAAATGTCAGTTTCTAATAAATCCTATCCAAATTAATGCCCCTGTTATTGATTAGCATTTAGCTCTCAGATGGTAACCTGCAATTAATATAGCTGGTACTAGCAGTCACTCCCATAGGAGATGGCTCTAATTTCAGTGTTCTTCAGTGAGTTTGATGACTTGGGAACATGGCACAAGGTAAGCTTAGAGTGAATGCAGGTGAATGAAACTGAAATTTGAAAACAGAATAATCAAGTATTATTTGCTGAAAAATTACTTCTAAGTATGAGACATCCTGCTTGGATGGGAATTGATATTACTAATCTCATTTCAGGATGAGCTGATCAGAGCAATTACAGCCCGGTCAGCCAGGCAGAGAAGTTCTGAATACTCCGATGACTTCGACAGTGATGAGATTGGTATGTAAAGGAATACACAAATGAACCGGTTTCCTGTATTTTACTTCCTTAGTTACATTTCACCTACCCCTAACTTCATATAATACAATGCCTATGAATTCACTAGTTTCAGAACTCCATGTGTGCAATTAGTTAGAAAGCCACGCTTAATACTCAAGAAACTTATGAATTATTCTTGCTTATTTCTGAGTGTGAATTTAAAAACATATAAATACATTATTGCTACATCTACAGTAAAACGATGCCTTAGGAGTAAGCTATATTGGAAAGCAGTTTCATTTTTAAGTTCAACTTTTAGAATCCTACAATTAGCCAGCAACCAGAGCTCTCAGGATCAAATATTGGTGCTCCTGAGGAGCACTTTGTAATGCTCCATGCAGACATATTCGGGCTTGGAATTGTGGGTACAGTAGCTATTTCCTGTTACTGGTATAAAACATCATGATGTAGAAAGAGTTTATATTAGTTTATAGTTTTAGAGGGATGGAAATCCATCATGGGGGGTAGCAAACATGAAGCAAAAAGCAAGCTAATACCTGCTCATCAAACAATGCCACCAACTGGAGACCAAGTAGTCAGGTACCTGAGTCTATGGGGAACATTCTCATTCAAACCACCATATTCCACTTTCTGTAACCCCAGAACTCATAGTCATGGTAAAACACATTTAGATCCACTTTAAAATCCTCATGGTCTTTAACATTTTCAACACTGTTTAAAAGTCCAGTCTCTTTTGAGACTCAGGGCATCTCTTAATTGTAACCCCTTGAAAAATCAGAAAAGGAAACTACATGCTTCCAACATATGACTGGACAGGATATACATTACCATTCCAAGATAGAAATGGGGGGAGCATAGTGAGGAAATACGGAACTAAAGCAAGACTGAAAGGAACATAGCAGGGCAAACTTGAAGTCCCACATAGCTCTGGATCTAGTGTCTGGGACTCTAGCTGGCTCTGCCCTTAAGCTTTTCATCTCTCTTTTGTGCTGGTTCTAATCTTGTATTTAATTCACTTTGGCAGATATCTCATGGCTCTGCATCTCCAGCATCTTAGGGTCCCCAACACACAGCCCAAGTTTCATTTTCACAATTTCACACAATGGTTTTTTGACCTCTTAGACCCTTCAGACAGAGACTTGTGTGTCACAGGTTGCCTAACCTAGGGGTCTCTCTATAACCCATAGGAGGAGAGTCCATGATCCTCTCACATTTCTGCATTGAGTGCCTCCAAAGTCCTTATCAGGTTTGACTGTCAGCTTAGGGTGGGCTCTCACTCCCTTGAGTCACTTTAAAAAAAAAAATCCCATTGATTTCTAGAAGTGGAATTCCATAAGCTCTTTCACAACTGGAAATTTAGTTACTTAGATGGGAGAGGTCTTAACCTGAGGGCTCCCTTCCCTTTGATCTATTGCAGAGCCAGGAGCCTCCTGTAGCAGTGATCTCATCAGCCTCCAGGCTCAAGTTGTGCTGCAACCTTAAGCTTCCTTGGGCTCTTTTTCTCTCCAAGCTGTATTTCTTTCTGCTTCACTTCTTCATTTGTCTTATCTACCTACATAAGCAAAATCAGCAAAACCCACACCACAGCTTCAATGGCACACTGTCTTCAAGCTTCCTCTGGCAAAGAAAGTAATCCATTGCTTTTTAAGTTCGTGTTTTATTTGCTTTCTATTGCTGTGCTAAAACATTAACCAAATCTCAACTTGGGGAGGAAAGGGTTTATGTGGCTTAGGCTTCTTCATAACAACCCATCACTGAGGTAGGAGCCTAAGATAGAAGCTGAAGCAGAGAACATGAAAGAACACTGCTAAGTGGCTTACTCCTCCTTAGCTTGCTCATCTTGCTTTCTTACACTGTCAGGACTCACTGCTTAGGGATGGCACTGCCCACAGAGGGCTGACCCTCCCATCCCACATCAATCATTAATCAAAAATATGCTTTGTAGATGTGCCCACAAGCCTGTATGTTGGAGTCATTTCTTCTGCTGTGGTTTCCTCTTCCCAGATACTCTAGTTTGTGTCAAAGTGACAAAACCAAAACCCTCACATTTATCCTCAGGCAAGATCGTATGACAAAGGCAGAAGGCATTCAGATTCTTCACCAGAATATCACAGGAATGGCCTCTACCCCAGATGCTGTTCAAATCCTTGCTTCTTCCTGAAACTTCTTGAACTGGCCCTCTACAGTCCCCATTACTCTCAGAACTTCAGTCTTCCAGGCTAGAATGGACTTTCAAGCTCTCCTTACAGGCTTTTACTGCTATTCTAATCCAGAGTTCTGGGGTATTCCACATCCCACCAAAACCAATGTGATCAGGTTTCTAACAGCAGCAGCCCACTCTCTGGTACTAAGGTCTGCATTAGTTACTCTTTTGTTGCTGTGAGTCAACACCATGGCCAAAAGTGACTAATAGAAGGGTTTATTTTGGCTTATGGTCTCAGAGAAATGTGAGTCAATCATGGTGGGGGCAGCATGGCCGAAAGTTGCAGGCATGGGTGGCAGGAACAGGGGGCTGAAAGATAACAATAGCAGACAAGAAGCAGAGAGCAAGCTGGAAGTGGGTCAAGGCTGTGAGCTCCCAAAGCCTGTCCTTAGTGACATCCTTCCTCCACAAGGTAGAACCGCTCACCAAACAGTGCCACCCACTGGGGACCAAGTGTTCAAGTGTATCTGAGGTCGTGGCAAACATTCTCATTCAAACCACCAAAGTGGGTCATTTTGAGAAATATACCCTCCACATTAATATATCCACTATTTTGCTTTAACTTGGTTTCTATTGAGTAAAACATTCCACTGTAGGTTTCAGGTATAAGCATATAGAATTCTAAATCTGAAATTAAGTGCGCTACTCTGTAATATTCATAATGAATATTACATAATGAATAAATGTTCTCTGTAAAAACGTTTTCAATAGCTGTTAAGTCATGTGTGTCTTGTTAAGTTAGTGCTCTTTATTAGACTATAATATTTTGGGGTGGGTACTATATTTAGTAGCCTTTGAGGGACATACCCCAGAATAAACACAGTACTGTAGGCACTTGATAAATAATTTTAATATGTTAATGAAACTCAAATTTTATTTCATAAATGTCAACAAGGTGTGCCTAGATTAGCTGTTTTTAAGAGTTGCAAAATAATTTTGTGCTTATTTGGGGTCGTTGATTAATTTCTAGTCCATTCTCTTCCTGAAGATCGTTGCTTTTCAAAGAAATGAAATATAACCTTCGGATGTTCAAGGTACACTCTTGAATTCACCGTTTTCTTGTTTATATTTCAGTTTCTTTAGGTGAATTTTCAGATACCTCAACAGATGAAAGTCTAGTTAGAAAAAAGGTGAATGATTTTCATATATCTGACGATGAGGAAAAGAGTTCTCCAAGACTGTCTTTTTTGAAAACCAAGAAAGTCAACAGTGATGTAGCCAAAGATGGGCAGGAATCTGTCACACAGATCAGTGAAGACATGTCACCAGATGTTCATGATGATCCCAAATCCCAAAATGATGATCAAGAAGTTGGAAAAGAGATTACCGAAATAAAGGCAAAGCCCAGAGTTCTTCCTATCAAAAAAAGTACATCTTCAGGTAACTTAGGAAATTACTATAATTACATTTCCAGAACATTTTTTAAGATAACCTGTCACAAAATGCTTTTTTTTATGATAGCTAACATATTTAACTGTCCAGTTTTCCAGCTATAACTTAGTAATCATAGCTACGAAAGCCCTGTGTATATTCACTCTGGAGTCTGTACTGGGGCTTAAGAGAAAGCCAGAGCTGTTGTGGTCCCCCACCGATGTAGCTCGCAAACTCCAGGCTCATCAGCTTCAGTTCTGTTTGTGGGCATGGGGCTGCAGTGAATCTATTCTAATCTCCACATGTTTCCAGGATTAAAACAGTCATCTACAAACTGGGGGTGTAGTGAGGTGGTAGATATGTGGCTAGCTTGCACAAGGCCCTGGGTTCAAGTTTAGGTCCATGAAGCATGGAAACATTTCTATACTAATATTTGGCTTTTGTTGTTAATGAAGCTTCCAGACTCTCCTTAAGAAAATAGAATCTTTCTTTAAACTACTGAATGGAACTATCAGCCAAAATCTAGTTTCCTGATGGTAGCTTCCTGGTGTGATTGGGAAGTACTGGAGTACTCTCCACTAGTGTGCTAAACAGGTGACCTTGGGGGGGAAGGATGGAGTACAGCCATGTGGTGCTCCGGGAGCCTGTGGAGATGGAGTGTGACTGTGTCTCCTGTTCATCTTTCTTTCTGTCATGTGTAGTGCTGTCAGATATTTCATACCATGGTAGATGGCAGCAGTAACATCAAATAAAACTTTATTACAGATGTATGTGAAGGAGTGACCGTTCCCTCCCTGATAATTCTAGGAACTTTAAGAGGATAAAAGTAGAGCAGAGACCCTTGGAAAAGTGTCCAAGACACTGGTTAAAAACATTGCCACATGTTAGTTGTATGTGACTTGGGCAAATGGCTTCAGCCACTTCAAGAGTAGGAGGGCAAACCTGTTTTTCCTGTTTCCTGTCCCACAGTGTTGTTTAGAGAATCTTTTGAAGTAACTGGAAAATGCCATCAAATGTCAGCAGTCAGTATCAGGAAGCTGAATTAACTTCTAACCGGAGCCTTCCAAGTGTAGTGATGGAATCACAGAGGGAAAGGGTTGAACTTAGTTATTAAGCAAATATGAGGACTGAGAATATAGGATAATGGTAAAGTCTTTATCCAACATTTGTCAAGGGTCCTAAATTTGATCCCCAGAACTCACCAGAGAAATAAATAAATAAAGGAAAAAAGGAAGTCAGAGAAGAAATGTGAATACAGCATCAAAAATTAGGCTGGAACAGCTGGGTATGTATTATTACCAGTTGACAGAGGTGTCAAGCAATTCTCCACCTAGTTAATCCATTTTAAAGCTCTGCAAGAGCCTGCTGTATTAATGAACACATAAAGTCCTATCACTCTAGAGGGTGAGGCAGCAGGATTGCTGTGAGTTTGAGGCTAGCCTTCACTACATAGATGTGGGATGAAAAACAAGACATTCTTTTAATTGCTGGAAAAAGTGGGTGGGGAAGCTGGAGTGAAGGTAAAATTAAAATGAGCAAGACAATAGTATGTTGTAACCACAAGGTGGCAGAAGAATCCCTTTCAGTGTTTCCATCTAAGTAGATAATCCTGTTAAGGTTGAAGCAAAATTGTTCAAATGAATAGAACTTACTTTTCTTCTTGAAAATTCGACATTATTTCCGGAAATAGAATTGGGGCATAAAATCACTAAAGTTGTTGGGTTCTTCTGTTTGAAGAATAATAATTGAGGCTAGAGGCCAAGAAAAGTACATGGAACAGAGAACTCATAAAGGATCAAGATGAATGGATGGGCCGGGCGGTGGTGGCGCACGCCTTTAATCCCAGCACTTGGGAGGCAGAGGCAGGCGGATCTCTGTGAGTTCGAGACCAGCCTGGTCTACAAGAGCTAGTTCCAGGACAGGCTCCAAAGCCACAGAGAAACCCTGTCTCGAAAAAACTAACTAACTAACTAAATAAATAAATAAAATAAAAAAATATGAATTGATGGATGCATAGCTGATTCATTCATTTCAAAAAGAATGTACGTCCTGACTTTAGCCATGCTCTCTAAATCAATTGCTTGTTTTTTTAAATTTTTATTCTGTATTTATGATGCTGAGGTTTAAACAGTTTTCTTGGGTGCTAACCACCCTCTGTACCACATAACCACTGAATGCTAACCACCCTCAGTACCACAGAACCACTGAGTGCTAACCACCGTAGTACCACAGAACCACTGAGTGCTAAGCACCCTCTGTACCACCATAATAGCCAAAGAACCTATTTCTCTAACTGGTTGTCTTTGCAGCCCTTCCTCCAGCAAGAGGTCTTCCATCCCCTGAAGGGCAGCATCATTTTCGGCATGATTATAGAGCACTCAGCTTTGTTTTTGTCATTTTATTTATTTAGAATCTTACATTTTGTCTACCTACAAAGTCTTTGGGTGGAGACCTTGTGGCTGAATGGTTAAAAGGGCTGGTGTTGTATGGAGTGCCTGGCTTCAGAAGCCATTTCATTTCCTAAAGGAAAGGTTGTGTGATGGTTTATATTTTGGACATGTTTTCAATACTAAGAGAACTCAGAAAATTGAAATTAATTTTTATAAAACTAAACTAGACTAGGTAACTACAGGATGGCAACAGTACTTTTAGATTTTGATTACGGGACCTGTGCTTTATGGGAGCTTGTGGAGAAGTGTGTGCTCGCCCGATGCTCCAAGCACTGCAGCCTCTCCAGGAGGGTAGCCGAAGCCGAGGTCAGTTTCACACACTCGCCTGAAAGTTTCCTTTTTCAGGGGAAAACAGCAGCAGTCATGAAGCAGATGACCATTTTAAGCCTTCACCTCGACCCAGGAGCATAAAAAAGAGCATCCCCATGGAGGAGGGTGACAGACCAGATGACAAAAAACAGTCCCCGAGTGAAGACTCTGCCACCATGCCTTCCCTTCCAAGGCAGAATGGCACAGAGTTGGAAACTGAGGAAAAAGTACACTCCGAAAACCTTGATCTTGAGGTTGGCATAATGTACAACTGTTGAGTTGTTCTTTAGTTCAGACCTATCTCGTGTGTGTGTGTGTGTGTGTGTGTGTGTGTGTGTGTGTGTGTGTGTGTGTGTCTGCGCATGCACCTGCACATGGGTTCACATGTGTGTATATGTATATTGCATTTTATTTTGAAATCGTTAAAGAGATCTCGTTGGGTTTTTTTGGGGTTTTTTTTGTTTTTTTGTTTTTTTTTTTTTTAATTTCCTTGACTGTAAAAGTAGCATGATTTTACATGCCACTAGAAAGGTACACCCATAAGTTATAGTGAGATGCATCCATTTCAAAAGAGGTAAAATGTTAAAATAATTTTGTTTTTCTGGGTATTTGTAGTGTTACTTATCTTGAATTATAAATTATGTGACTATCTTTGCTGATGTAATTTTTTTGGCTAAGTACAGTTCAGTTCATGACCTTTATTTGGCTAGCCTCACTCTTAGGGTACTATTCTGTATTCTGTGAGACTTGGTCCATCCTCAGGTTTCCGTGAGGAGTTATGATTGCAGTGTCACCAGGGAGAACACTTGTCACCTCACTTTGTCTTTTACTGTGAAAAGCCAGCTTCCAGCTCATGTCTCAGAAAAGTACACTGCCCCCCCCCACCTCAATCTTCTTGGGCAGATGAGGGAAGATGAGCTGCAAGCAGCCTGGCCAGGTCTCCTCCACTCTCCACTCATCTGCAATGTGGGTGGAAGGACCTGCTAACAGAAGTGGTGCAGGGCCACATGAGTACCCTGAGTCCATAAATTTCTACTGCTAAGTCACTATGTGGCTAGGGAGCCGCATCTCCTTTAGAGCTGACGGGCTTGACCTCACTTGTGGCTCCTCTGGCTAGTTCTTAATATGCTCAGAAAAATCAAGAGAGGAACTGAAACAGTGATTTTATGTATTTAATATAATCACCTACTACACCTACCTTCTGAGCAAAAATCGGCCCACGGGTGCAATAGTGTCATGGCTGAGTGAAGTTAACCAACTCCTTTCTCATTGGACTTTGGACCTACTTCATAAAACCTCCTATCTGGCATTTAAAATATGATGAGAGTATATGATTTGGGATGTCATACACCCTCTGGGGGAAGCTACTAATGATTGCTTTTGGTAAAAAGGATATGGTGTCAAACTGCCCTGAAAATTATTATAAGTGCTCCTCTCATCCTTGGTGATAAAAGCTTCAGTTTGCAGTGGCAACACTTAACGATATCTAAATCATCCACTAGGATCAGAGAGCATTGCAGAAAGAGGGGCCAAAAGAATGTAAGAGCTGAACAATGGGAGGAGTGATGTAAACAGCAATCTTCTGGACATGACATGGCTAGCGAGTGCATGAATACACAATACGGCTACCCATACAAAACTTACATGGCACTAGGTCCATCAATAACTCCATCATAAATGGAGGGATGGATCATATGGCCTCATTGTCATAGAAACTACAGGCATTTAAAGGTGGCAAGGGCAATGTGGTCATATAATCCAATAGTGTAGTCATGCATGTATTGTCCTCCTCATTCAAATAACTTCTGATTTATTCAGAACCGTAACCTTTACAAAAAAGCATGAAAAAAATGGGGCATCAACCTGGGAAGAAGGTATTTGTTGAGAGATGAAGAGAATAGGAGGAGATAATGACAGGGACTTCAAACAAAGAACATTATGTATTAAATTTGTGGAGTCACAAAAGAAAAAAGTAAATGTATAAAAGAAAATAAATGCTGGTGTGACATAGAGAAAAATAATTAATATAATTACCTACTTAATTGAATATTGCCTTGGTTTCCTATAGTTGCTGGAACAAACTGCTACTAGCCAAAAGGTTGACAGAAGGAGAAATTTACTTTCCTAGCTCTGAAATCTAGGTGTCAGAGATCTAGGTGTCATTCTCTTTAAGACCCAAGAGGGGCCTTTCTTCTTGTCTCTTCAGTGTGCCAGTAGTCATCAACCCTCCCTAATCTAAAGAGGCATCACACCACCCTGCCTTCATCACCAAGCCTTGTGCCTTTTTCCCTCTTCTTTTCCTAAAACAAACCCTGCCAGAGTTAGGACAGTATGCCCTCATCTTAACTACAACTACATCTGTAAATATGGTACTAATATGACCCACTCTGGGTAGACATGAATTGGGAAAGGGAGCTCCATTTATGCAGGCACAGATTCTTCTTCTTTAATGATTTATTATTTTTACTTTTTGTGCATTGATGTTTTGCTTGCATGTATGTCAATGTGAGGGTGTTGGATCCCCTGGGACTGGAGTTGCAGATAGTTGTAAGCTGCCACATGGGTGGTGGGAATTGAACCAGGGTCCTCTGAAAGAGCAGCTAGTGCTCTTAACCACTGAGCCATCTTTCCTGCTCCAGATACAGATTCTTAACTGTAAATATTTCCTTAGATTTTTCATGTCCCCTGCCTTAAAATGTGATGTATCTGTGTGCTCCTTTTTTTTTTTTTTAATAGTGTCATACTATGGCAACAATCTAACAGGAACATATCCAGCCATAACCCCACTCTCTCAGCAGTGGCACTATTCTTCTCTCCCAGACTGCCTTCCTCATGTTGGTCATCACTCTATTTGTGTTTTGTGTTGGACCTCTCATTTGTAAGGCATGGAGTCTTTCCATGCTGTGAGGTGGCCCTGAAGACATATCCATATGGTTTCTGACATAGCCCATAATGGAGAACTAGTATCCTGTGGGACACTCTATTTTTAACAATCGAATGCTCCCCACTGCTCAGGGTAAGTCTCCCTGGCTCTGCTTCCTCTTCAAGGTCATTCTCATAGGGCTTTCTCGTGGAGTTTGACCAAGCCTTCTCTTCCCTAGGTGTGTAACCTTTGTCTCCTCACTCACCACAGCCAAGTGTGTTCAGTGGCATGCAAGCCCCTTCATCTTTGTGTGAGCTCTCACTTGATGAGCATCTCCTCCTCTGCCTAGCCCTGTGGATACCACACCAGGTGTGGAAGAGGTGGGAGTGAGTGAGTGAGTGAGTGAGTGAGTGAGTGAGTGAGTGAGAGTGAGTGAGTGAGTGAGTGTCTGAGTGACATTTGCTTCCTCTCTGCATCTTCCTCTTGCCTTTCCTCAGTGTGCATACCTGTGCGCATGACTGAAGTACATATCAGTCATGCACTTTCCTGGCTTAAAGCCTTATTGATCAAGACATTTTAAATTTTGTGCTTTGATTTCTTACTCTTTTGTGCACCTTCCGTCTCTACATGTGTGGAGGCCATTGCGGGATGAGTTTTTTTGTTGTTGTTGTTGCTGTTTTTGTTTTGTTTATTTTCAAGATGTAATGATCAGGCTTAAATGTCAGTTGGGATTATTTATTGTTTTTTGTGTCTGTTATTGTGTTTGTATGTCTCTGTCTTCTCTTATTTACTAGAAGTTTGTCATGAAAAGTTAAATTAGAAGTTAAACTATTTGGGATTGGAAACTTCTTTGTGGAGAGGTCTGTGCCCTTAAGTTTTTTTTCTATATTATTCCTGTTTTGTTTTACATTGCATTTAGTTACTAACTTTAGTTTTTCTATTGTCTCTGTGCATCTGTGCCTGCTGTGGCTTGCCTGCAGAGGACAGAGGACAACTTTGTGGAACTTACAATCTTCTGGCCTTACATGGGTTGTGGGGAGTAGCAAGCTTTCCATCTCCTGAGCCATCTTGCTGGCCCCTGGTTTTTTCTTCCTGATAGTTTGGTGGGTACTGTTGAGGACCGAAAAGAGTATCCCATTCCCAAGAGCTGAGGTTCCAGGCAGGTTTGAACTGCCCACATCAGTTCTAGAATCTGAGCTGGAGTCCTGTGGAAGAGCAGGAAGCAATCTCAACCCTTGAGCCAACTTTCCAACACAGACAGTGTTAATGACTTTCTGTTGCCTCTGGGAGTTAATGACTCTGTTGCCTCTGGGAGTCCTTAAGGCTAACTTTATATGGTAAATATTTTCTTAACAGGACTCGCTCTTACAAAGTCTGACCTCATCGTCCATCAAAGAAAGCCCTGCAAATTGCACCTCACCAGGATCTCAGGAAAAGATATCCATAAAAGGTAGTTACACCTATTACTATACCCTGTTTGTGAACTCTGTATCACTCCAGTGTTCAGTCTGCAAGCAAAACTGTATTTTGTATATTTACAGGAAAAGGTATGTTTGCTTTTGTATGAGCTTTAACCCTGACGATGCAATTGATTGGGTGACTTTACGACACAGAAGTTAATTTCACAATGCCTCAGATTCTTCAGTGTATTGTAGTTACTTGTCTCAAAAGGCTGTTGGGAAAATTAAGCATTATAGTCTTTTATGCCTCCAGCAAAGTCTCAAGGACAACTGGAATTGTAACGATAAATCTTTCCAACAACCGCCCAAAATAACACACAGATATTCATATTAGGTACAATGCTGCTGGCCAATAACTAGGATTTCTTAATTGCAAGCTCTGTCTTAAGTATCAGCCATAACTACTAATCTATATATTTTATAAAGACTTATATTATCGAGTATGCCAGCCATATTCATCCTCTCTTGAGATCACATGGCGACCCCTGTCTTTACTACATTTCCCAGAATCCTCCTTGACTCCTAGCCCCACCTATCTTGCTTTCCTATTGGCCAACAGTGCTTTATCTATCAACCAGTAAGACAAACATATACACAGAAGGACTAAGTCTCTTATGCCTCCAGCAAAGTCTCAAGGACAACTGGAATGATCATTTAAAGGGAACCTGTATTACGTGTTTGATGCTGTAATCATACAGAGAACACATCATAATGGCCACCGGGACTTTTTATGCAGACACAGGCAGATGGACAGAGTAGCAAGCCTCTCTAGGCCTGTGAATTTAATCATCCATCTCATGTAGTTGTGAGAAATTTAAAATTTTAAAAATTACCAATACCTAGAAGGCCCTGAGACTACTATTAGAGTAAGTGCATATTAAATATGAGGTGTGCATTAACTGGTAATGTTATTCCCTTTGTTAATGTTGGAGTATGTAAAGCTTGATGCAGCCAAAATGAGGAGCTCGTTGCAGGGACTGTAGTGGCATTCCTTAAGTGCTGTGCTGGTTAATATTAGTCAACTAGACCTGTCTCAGAAGAGGCAATCCCAGTTGAGGAGAACCTCCATCAGCCCTGCTTGTAGGCAAGTTAGTGGATCATTGTCTTGATTAATAATGTATGGTAAAAAACCAGCCTGGTGTAGGTGATGTCGCCCCTGGGCAGATGGCTGAGTGGTATAAGAAAACAAGCTGAGCAAGCCATGGTGTATAAGCCATTAAATGGTGATCCTCCATAGGCTCTGCTCCAGTTCCTGCCTTGATCTCCTGCCCTGGCTTCCCACAACAATGGACTGTGAACAGGTCATGTAAGCCAAATAAACCCTTTCCTTCCCAAGGTGATTTTACTCATTGTTCTGTCACAGCTAAAGAGAGGTAAACAAAGATAAATACTTACTATGTAGTGCAATTTTTGTCATTTCACAGATTAAACAAACAAAAAACAAAATTGAAGTGCAGAGCTATTGAGACACATACCTAAGGTCAGTGATGAGACATAGTTTGACTTTGGCTCCTAAGTTCTTGTTCTTTTCACCGCTCCAAAGATTCCAATAATGAATTGAGTCATGGATGCTCTTCAGATTCAAACAGAACAACTGTAATGATGAAGTGATTTTGAAACTTAGTTCCTCCCCAAAATCTTCCCCCCAGTGAGCTATAATGAAAGCAGCTGAATGAAGACTTTTCAGTAACTGGAAATTAGATGTTGGTGGAAATCCAAATGGCTGTTACACAGGGACTGCAAGCTTTTATGTTGAATATCACATAAGTGACTGCTGGTTTCCTTCTGTTGGACGTCCCACAGTGTCATAGAGTCAATGTAAATAGAAGCAATTCAGAGAAAGCCAAGCTTAGTCTTCTTATGGGGAGCTTAGGCCTGTGCCGAGGAGTCCTGAATGTGCAACAGGCCAGCCCTTGGCACCTTCTTCATGTGAGATGATAGAGAAATAAAGGAGTGAAGCTCGTCTGAGCTTGACTAGAGCACGGTGTAAGATGAGTGACATGAGTCTGTGTTTCCCTCCCCATCTGGGCAGCTCACCTGAGCTGCCACTACCCACAGTGCTGCTGAGCTGTTTGCCTCCTGCTTTCCCAGCAGGCTCTCTTAGCTTTAATAGGATGGATTACAGTCTGGGTTTCTTGATTTGCATATCCACATGTTCTCCTTTACTTGGGAGTAATTATTCCATTCTAATTATGCGTATGCTGTGTTCTTTAAGTATGATGAGGCTTGTCAAATGTTAGATTGAATGAGCATTTTTGCATTCATAGATCAAGTGTGTTCTAATTTAATTAGATAGTTTTCATTGTTTTATTTTGTAAGAAAAAAAGAGATTATATCCAGGCATCATGGCAGATGCTTAGCATTCCAGCACTTGGGAGGTAAAGAAAGATGATTCAGGGGTTCAAGGCCAGCCTCAGCTATAGGACACCCTGCTTCCAAAAGAAAAAATTAGCAGTTAAGAGCACATATTACTGTTATTCTAGAGAACCCAAGGTTCATTCCTAGCACCCACATCAGGCAGCTCTCAATTGCCTGTAACCCCAGCTATTGGGAATTTTGACTCCTCTGGCCTCTGAGAAGAGCAACTGTGTTCATATTAACTGACACACACACACACACACACACACACACACACACACACACACACTTTTAAAAGTTATGAAAATACTCAGTTGAAGGATAGTAAATGAATCTGTCATACCCTGTGTGGAATGAGAAGGATTTAGTGCTGTCTCTCTGCCTCCAAACAGATCATGATGGAGAACCTACTGAAATCTGGGATTCCTTGATATCAAATGAAAATGAAGAGAATTCAGTCTTGGTAAACTGTGTTACTCCTGAAGTTGAGCTGCCTAAGACAAGTCAGGTGACTGCTGATGACACTGAAGAAGAGAAAGAGAAGGCTGGGTTTACAGATGATGACTTCACCACTGACCCACTGCTCTCCACATCCCCAAGTGTCATAACACCCACCGAGACAGCAGAGCCGGCCAAGGTATGTTGGTAATGTGTAGCCTTGGCACTGCAGCTTCATACATGAAACAGAACCTTCAAACATCTTATTTCTGTCCTCACAGCTCTATATTAGTGTGGAGAACATCTTTTGTATTTTCAAGTAAATGTTACTTAATTCAGTTGAATTTCAATTTCAAGGAAAGTTTGCACTTGGCACAATGAAGCCAAATGTTCACTGGGACCTGTCAGGCATAGTAATATACTTTAAAATTTTCATAACCACATAGTATATGTGTCTCTATATAGGTGAAATGTGAACTCACGGAGGAATAAAAACTGATTTTTAAGGGGTGCAATGAAAAGGGGACAGACTCACAGATACAGAGTAAGGCTGAAGCCACCTCAGACCCTGCACTGCCATGCCAAGCACGAGCTAGAGCAAGGGAGAGAGTGGCTTTCTCCTCCAGCTTTTAAGTTGTATGTAGTGCCTCAGGCTACGTCCTCGAGCCAGTACCTCAAAGCTATTGGTGGAAAGAATTCCCACAATAATAGGTTTCTATAGATCAGATCATAAAAATGCAACTGTCTAGAACAGCTATGGAGATGTTACATTGATGATGTGTTAGTATCTCTTCAAAACATAAACAACTTTAATGAAAGGTTTGAAGAGCGCCTTGGGCATAGTAGTGAGTTTCAGTCTAAGTTCTATGAGACCCTTCTGAGAGACAAAAACAGAGAGGCATCCATAGAGAAGCAGATGGGGGAGGGGAAAAGGAAAGGAGGAGGGAGAGAAAGAAAAGAGAAGGGAAGCTTTGTAAAAGTGTTTTTCAATGTCTGTCCCTTCGAGCCATCATCAGGAGTATCATTATAATGTTAGGAATAGATTTATCTTTTCTAGGATAATTTTGTTCCATGATAAGATACATCAGAGTACCATGCTTTTCCAATTTACAGTGCAGCACTTGTAGTCTTTACTTCTTCTGAGTTTAGTCTTACTCTGTCTGAGAGTCAGATTAGAATGTCTGTGTCTATCCATTGTGTCTGGCTGAGAACTGGCTTACATAATACAAACTCCAAAGTGATCAAACCATACCTGGGAGGCTCCTGAAGCCCTGGTCACCACTGCCCCGAATGTAGGATTGGGCTCATCTTGGCCCAATCTTCTGTTAGCCCAGCCCCTTCTGAGTAGAGGTGAGTTGTGTCTAACAAGGAAAAGTCCTTTATAAAATATACACAGGATCTTAGACTAGGAACAAGCCTAAATTAAAACATGGGCCAGCCGTTGGTGGCACATGCCTTTAATCCCAGCACTCCGGAGGCAGAGGCAGGTGGATCTCTGTGAGTTCAAGGCCAGCCTGGTCTCCAGAGCGAGTACCAGGAAAAAAAAAAAAAAAAAAAAAAAAAAAAAAAAAAAAAAAAAAAAAAAAAAAAAAAAACATGGTTTACACCCAACAGTAAGCATGGAATCTTCTTCTGAGATGGACTTTTGGTTTTATTCTCATGCTCTGCTGAGTGGTCCTTTCTACTTTGAACCCATTAACCATCCCATCTCTCCCCATCCCCCCATCCCCTGCCACTGCTGCATACAGTTTATTTGTTGTTTCTGGGTGTCTTAGCATTTCTGATGCTGTGAAGAGACACCATGACCATGGCAACTTTTGTAAGGAAAACATTTAATTAGGGTGGTTCTCTTACAGTTTCAGAGGTTCAGTCTATTGTCATCATGACAGGGAGCATAGTAGTGTGCAGTCAGACATGGTGCTGACTGAGAGTAGCCGAGGGTATTATATCCTGTAGGCAACAGGAAATGGTCTCAGTGTCACACTGAGGGAAGCCTGAGCAAAAGAAACCTCAAGGCCCGCCATCAAGGCCATACCTCCTAAAAGTGCCACTCCCTTTGGAGGACATTTTCTTTCAAACCACCACACTGGACATGAGAATGACATCTGTGCACCTTGCCACCATCTGACAAGCTCACAGACTCTTCTTTGAATGCATATTCCTCTCCTGTCTCACAGACTTCAGCACCATGTTTGTGTGTGTTAACCACAGCTAAGCATCTGTGCTTTTCTTTGTTTCTGTAGACCTGCACATTGTCCTCTGCTCTCCCTTTCAGCTACCACTGTGCCCTGAGGACCTTCCCCAGGTCATTTTCACCTGAGCAGCCCCTCAGCCCCACTCTAGTCACTCACTGTCCCCAGCGTTGGCTGTTCAGAAGCCATGTTACTTCTGCAGTGGTGCCATTCATGCTTAAGATGCTTCAGAACCTTGAGAGCATCCAGAGCACTGACCTAAAGGGCTTGACACTAGATGTAGAGCAGCACTCATTTCCTCAGCTTTGCTTCCCAGCCTGATATAATCATGGTGAATGATTCATGTATGTGTTTTCCGTCTATTAGAAAACAAATGAAGAACGAAACATGAAGAATAAAAAGCCAACGAATAATAGAGTATCCAGTGCCTCTGGCAGGTAAAACTTACCGACATCATTATGTATGGGCTCACAGTCTAGCAAAACTCACCTTACTCTAGAATCCATGAAAGGAATTTTACTTGCTGTCATGGGTTTTTTAGTGGTTTCCATTGTCAAATGGGATAGATATCTCATAATGAAACTCTCAGTCGGTTTCACTCTTTCATAGAAATTTTATTCAGTATTCTTCGGATTTTTCTCTCCACCTGTGGTTTTATTTTTTCCCTAATCTCCCTGCACAGCTGCTTGGCTAAAGCTCTTGGTATTTTTGTTGTTGTTTGTTTTTTTGTTTTTTTTTCCGATGAGACACTATATATAGATGGTCATAAAACTGAAATCCAGCACTTTTTTTTTTCTTTTTAGTGTTTTTGTCAAACATATGAAAAAAAACTGACAGTTCCCAGGGGCTAAATGGGTTTATTAAAATGATAAGAATCTGAAGCTAGCCATGTTGGCACATACCTGTAACTCAACATGCAAGAGGCTGGAGCAGGAGGATTGTTGTGCATTCAAGGCCAGCTTGAACTACACAGTAGCACCCTGTCTCAAATAAAACCAAATAGTAATAATTAAACTAAATGTTAAGAATCCATTTGATTGATGTTGCTGGCTCATATGTATTCTGTAAATCTTCTGATTCCTTTATTTATTATTAGTCAAATGAAGCAGGCCAGCCAACTTTGGCTAGTAAGTCAGTATTTTACATTTTATGAGCTGTTCTACCCCTGCCTTAACCACTCAGCTCTGCCATTACAGCATGGAGAATACGAAATGAGTGACCAGAGCTGCCATGTAGTAAACCTTCTTCAATAAAAGAGAAGCTAGGCCAGATTTTCCCATAAGTAACTAACAGGGTCCTATTCTTCTCAATTCATAGACTATGTCAAGTAACAGAATAATACAATAATATATTCAAAAAGTGATTCAAACCTACTTTTATTGGTGGTTGTCATGTAGTTTAAGATGTGGTTTATGTTTCATTAAAAGACTCTATAAGTATCTAACACAAGAACTATAGTTCAAAGTTACAAAGTTTAAATTATATTAGCAAAACGAAGAAAACATGACTCTTACCTGGATTATTTTGAAAGTAATTATAATTCATTTCATTCCATCATAGTTTTGTTTCATTTTGTTTGTTTGAGACAGGGTCCCACACTTAGCCCAGGGTAGCTTGCAACCTACTTTGTATATCAAAGTCTTCCTAACTGTGGCCTTATAGGTGTGAGGTACCATAACTGGCATTAGAATGCAGTTTTAAAGGTAATAACTGTATCTGGCAGCTCTACCTCACTTTTTCTTGGTTCATTTGAAACTTTTCAGGCTGATGACCTCTGAATTTTTAAAGAAATCTGGTCCCACAAGGAGAAGTCCGTCTGCAGCTACCTCTTCTCACTATTTAGGGACTTTAAAAGTCTTGGACAAGAAGCCATCACGGAAGCAGAGCATTGAGACAGACAAAGCTGATCACATAAGGGCAGCTGTTTATCAGGTAAAATAGAAAATATTTCTTAAATGAGAATTCATCATTTCCACAAGGCCTACTCATCAATTAATAACGTGACTGTCTAAACTGATAACTGGATACTCACTGTCATTGGGAAAGATTTCTTTTTTAGAAGTGTGTGAGCAATTCTGAGGGTTTTTCTGAATTATTTGCTGCTACATGTTGTCTAAACTATAAAAATAATGTTTTTAAAGAAAGAGAAGATACTGTTATAATTTATAGAAATACAACAAAAGCCAGTTTGTTGTAAAATCTGCATGCCGTTTTATCCTATTTCTTCTGAAAGTTTATGTTGTTCATAGTCAATTTTTCTTTAAACTTTTTCTTTCTGGAGACAAAGATTTTCATAATTTTTCACAGACTTAAGATTTTCCTATTATTTTTCACAATTTCAAGAAACATCTTTTTTGTTTTGTTACACAGAATTTAATCTCCTTTGGAAAATTTTACAGTTTAATTTCAGTATAAAATGTTGGTATACTTAACCATTATATTAAATCATACATACGATTTTCTTTTTTTTTTAATCGAATTAGAAACAAGATTGTTTTACATGTCAATCCCAGTTCTCACTCCCTCCCCTCCTCCCTTACCATCCCCCCCCAACTAATACCCTACCTATCACATATCCTTTCTGCTCCCAATGGAGGGTGAGGCCTTCCATAGGGGGTCATGAGAGTCTATCATATTCTTTGGGATAGGGCCTAGGCCCACCCCCCTGTGTCTTGGCTCAAGGAGTATCCCTGTATGTGGATTGGGCTCCCAAAGTCCACACCTTTGCTAGGGATAAGTACTGAACTACTACAGGAGGCCCCATAGATTTCCAAGATCTCCTTACTGAAACCCATGTCATGGGGTCTGGATCAGTCCCATGCTGGTTTCCCACCTATCAGTCTGGGGACCAACAGCTCCCTGTTGTTCAGGTCAACTGTTTCTGTGGGTTTCAGCAGCCTGGTCTGGACCCCTTTGCCCATCACTCATCCTTCTCTGCATCTGGATTCCAGTTCAATTCAGTGATTAGTTGTGGCTGTCTGCTTCTCCTTCCACCAGCTGCTGGATGAAGGTTATAGGATGGCATATAAGTTAGTCATCAATCTCATTATCAGGGGAGGGAATTTAAGGTAGCCTCTCTTCTGTTGCTTAGATTTTTAGTTGGTGTCATCTTTGTAGATCTGCAGACCTTTCCTTAGTGCCTGATTTCTCTGTAAACCTAAAATGTCTCCCTCTATTATGGTATCTCCTTTCTGGTTTCTTCTATTCTTCCCCCGACTCAACCTTTCTGCTCCCTCATGTCCTCCTCACCCCTCCTCTTCTCCCCTTCTCATTCTCCTAGCTCCCTCCCCCCACCCACCTCCCTTGCTCCCAATTTGCTCAGGAGATCTTGTCCCTTTCCCCTTCTCCAGGGGACCATGACATACAGTTTTCTTAAACAGTAATATTCATCTTTAAGTTTTACAATATCACTGGGAAAAGAATATTGTTTTAGATAAAGCATAAATTTCTGGGTTCCTTATTATATTATTATTATTATTATTATTATTATTATTATTATTATTACTATTATTATTATTTTCTTTGGTTTTTCGAAACAGGATTTCTCTTGGCTTTGGAGGCTGTCCTGTAACTAGCTCTTGTAGACCAGGCTGGTCTCGAACTCACAGAGATCCGCTTGCCTCTGCCTCCCGAGTGCTGGGACTAAAGGTGTGTGTCACCACCACCTGGCATCCTTTTTTAAACTTTAAACAAATATTTCAAAATTAGATAAGAATTCTAAGTCATTTGGGCACCATATAGTATGATTTAACCTTTTGTGTTTTTAATTTCACAGGAGTGGTTAGAAAAGAAAAATGTGTATTTACATGAAATGCACCGAATAAAAAGAATTGAAAGTGAAAACTTAAGGATCCAAAATGAACAGGTATCATAAAGAATTTTATGTCAGTAAAAGTTCTCTGGATATTTAATGTTACCTAATGAACTGTTTTTAAGTGGTAAAATATACACATAAACAAAAGATTTCTGATTTCATTTCTTCAATTTGGTTTCAACTTAACTTTTGCATAAAAACACATACACATTTTAAGTTTCATATGCATAGAATAGACACAGCAGGGCTTACTATTAATTTAGTATTTGTATGACTGCCAAATTCAGTCTCAGAATTTGATGATGATGAGAGTTTAGTCAAGAACATAGTCAACTTATCAATATATACTGACATTCAAATTTCCTGTTCTATCTTCCACACCAACCCCTGCTATGGCTCCTGACCCACATTCTCCTTCACTGCATGGGACTCTTGACCAGCCCTTCCTGTGATTTCACTATGTCCCTCTTACCTGCCTAAAAGCCCACAATGCACTTGGAACTTTCTTCTCAGTTCCTTGTATTGATCCACACTAAAGCAGGTTGACAGGGAAATATTCCTAAAATGAGCAGCATTGGGCCAGTCAGTTCTTTGTGGGGCAGCCTCCAGGGACTGTGCCTCTGAACACCTCTGTGCCGTTGTACTGTAATTTTTTCTTTGGAATTACTTCACCTCCATGATGCAATCTCTGTTTTCAAGATTGAACAGTATTTGAGGTCAAATATTGGCATTAATGAGGTTAGAGACTAAGTTTGTAACAAAGTTGCAGTACTGCTCCTACACATTTTACAGTGTAATTCTGTTATATGACATTTGGTATATCTTTATCTTATAGGAATGTTATGTTTTGATGTCAAAACAGGGTTCAAGCCAAGCACTTGTCACTGTGTGCCTTGGGCAACCTATGTTACTTTATAATCTTTTAACTTTCATCTTTTTTTTTTTTGCTAACATTTTATAGTACCAGTTAGCCTGTTGTAGTTTATTTTGAAAACATTTATTTTTGCCTTCTTCCAAAGTCCATAGATGCTTCTTTCTCGTGAATACAAAATAGGTCAACACCCGATAAGTGCTTTGACGGTCTAAAAAGCAGTCAATAATATTTGTAGATCAGTTTGTCCAAGTAATTCTAAATAAATCATCTGCTTTGTAACTTCTTTGCATGACAAACATTGGAAGATTAGAGACAAATATATCTTTGTGTATCTGTGTCTAGCCCTGTACACCTGTCTAGACACATACACGTATGCCATTTTATTTTAAATCAAAACAGAAAAGAGCTGCTAAGAGAGAGGAAGCATTAGCATCATTCGAAGCCTGGAAGGCTATGAAAGAAAAGGAAGCAAAGAAAATAGCTGCAAAGAAGAGGCTGGAGGAAAAAAACAAGAGGAAAACGGAAGAAGAAAACGCTGTGAGGAAGAGCGAGGCCCTGCAAGTGAGTACCCAGGCCCTGACTGATCTTCGTTGTTCACAGTTCTTGTGCTTGAAGGAAGGATCTATTGTACTTTTGCTGATCTCAGAAAAGCCTTGGCAAGTAAGAAAACCACTCTGAACTCTTTCAGGCATTTGAAAAATGGAAAGAGAAAAAGCTGGAATACCTGAAAGAGAAGACGAGGAAGGAAAAAGAATATGAAAGAGCAAAGAAACAGAAAGAAGAAGAAACGGTTGCTGAGAAAAAGAAAGACAATTTAACTGCTTTTGAAAAATGGTAATCCTGCATGATTTGACGTTTGGTAGTTTCAAGCTAATTCTTGAGGCTTTTCTAGGACTCATTGCTTACAGGTCTACTCACCCCTCAATCTCATTGCTTCCGAAGCTATGTTAGGACATCTTCTTTAGTTTCCCACTGTTTCATGTTCTCCTACACAGGAGTGAAAAAAAGGAAGCCCTTCTCAAGCAAAAGGAAAAGGAGAAAATAAATGAGAGAAGAAAGGAAGAGCTAAAGAGAGCAGAGAAGAAAGACAAAGACCAGCAAGCCATCAGTGAATACGAAAAGTGGCTGGTAGGTGTTTCGTGCGAATGAACTTCCTTTTTAACTGACTTTTTACTCCTTGTCTGCTTCTCATTCCCATTCTCTGTTCTCCTGGAGACTCCCTTGTTGTGCTCAGCCTTTCCTCTGCAGATCAGAGTCCCCTGTGGCCTCTCATTTCCGTCTGGGCTTCTGAGGTTGGCCAAAGCCTGTGAGCTTGCACCAGTTGTCATGCTCTAGGCCTGCATCCCCGCTTCAGCCCCTTCCCATGGTGCCCATTCTTCCTACAGTGCTTCTTGCTTGTGACATCGTAGAAGGCAAACAGGTGCACTGAGCATGCAGAGTGCTCTATGCAGAATCCCCATGGCTATAGTAGCCCTGACCCTAATGGTGAGAAACTTACCCTTGTTTCTTACATTCCATTAGTATGCTGATCATCTAAGGCAAAGGCCTTATTTAGATATTGTTCAATGTAAGGGATCATCACTGAAGCTGAATGTTACAATATCCAGATGCCCTTTACTAGATGTTTGAGTAATAAGCCTTTGGTTTTAATCCACGTATGTTAACAGGTTACTTTTTGGTACTGTAAAGCAAAATACAGGCTTCCATTTTTAAACAAATAGTCATTTTGTTAATTTTGAATAAATAACATCCATAAATGTTATACTTTTTGCAAGTAGATGATACATTCTTATGTATAGTGCACGTATAAAATTTCTCCACAGTCCTAGCAGGTTTTTTGTTTGTTTGTTTGTTTGTTTTATCTGATTTAACTGGATTTATCTCAATCTGCTGTCTACAAACATCATCCAGAATATTTTTGACTTCCATATCTCACTCATGTTTTCATTTATAGATATGTGCAAATAATGTATTTCTGTAAATGGTCACTTCATAGATGCACATATTTTCTATTGGAATTTGTCTTACTAATTTCTAAAAGCTGCTGTAGCAGGGAAATTCACTTACAGTCTCCAGTAGAAGATGCAACCGTTTCACCCACTCGATTCTTGCTTTGCCAGCATTGTTTACTAGTGCCTTAGGCCGTGTCAATTCCAGTTTTATTTTGGATTTCTGTCTTTTCTTTTGACCTCTGATTCTCACACCTAGGTGAAAAGACCTTCCCCATAGTTTAAAGCTACTGGGTCTCTCTCATTCCTTTACAGCTCCAATATCCCAATGTATTAGCATTTTCCCTGACCTCAAGTTATTTTCTTACATGATGAGAAATTTGATTCCAACTTAACTTTTCCAGGATGTGTGTTTTACAAACCAGAATCTGTTCATGATGGTTTAAGAGCTCATCATTGCAATAGATCCCTGGGTTTGGGGTTCTGATTCTTGACTTTGTGCTCCATTGGCCAGTCTCATTATATATGGAATGAGACTAGTACCAGTCAGTTTTTCTAGTACCAGTCAGTTTCCTTACAGGCTTCACGTGTCATGTGTAGATCTTGTTGATTCTCCCACCACACTTCTTCTTTCACGGTGTTTTTCACTATGCTTCCCTGATTTGCATACAATTTTAGGATTAACACTTCCAAGAGCATAGAAGACCAAATTGAACAGCTTAAAAGTGGAATATATGATAAGGCATTTAGAGTTAAGCGAATAATCATTTAAGACCAACCTAAAGAACACTATAGAACTCCCCGAAGCCCAAGCCTTGAGGAAATGCAGCCGGCACAAGGCTCTTGGGTAGGAATGACCTGAAAGTGGTGATATAAAGGTGTCTATTCTCTCTGAGTCAACAGAGCCCTGGTTGTGAAAAACAAAGTATCGTTTGCATCATCTGTAGACTCTTGCAATGCTTCATGACAATCCCATGCAGAGAAACAATAAAATTGGGTGATCAGTGTTAGCTCATAATAGGCTCCTGTCTTTAAAAATAAAGAGTGCAATATTTGAAGCACTCAGTGTTTCATTCTGATCTTTTAAATTAAACTCTTACATAATGCTTGATCCTTTTAAAAATGTTAGAATGTGCTGGGCGTTGGTGGCGCACGCCTTTAATCCCAGCACTCCGGAGGCAGAGGCAGGGGGATCTCTATGAGTTCAAGGCCAGCCTTGTCTCCAGAGCGAGTGCCAGGATAGGCTCCAAAGCTTCACAGAGAAACCCTGTCTCGAAAAACCAAAAAAAAAAAAAAAAAAAAAAGTTAGAATGCTTCCCATATTGAAAAAGTCTATGCCAATATCACTTGGGCAATTGAATATCATTGTTAGAATTTTCTATTTTGTTTCCACATTTTCTTGAAAATGGAGTAGCATTCCCATTGGTGGCCATGCCATCATTCTGTGCCCATGCCACACTATGTAGACTACAGGGTGTTAGCATGTTCCCATTCTCTTCAGTCTATTCCTCAAAGCCTTAGCAACAACTAGCACACTGCCCTGTGCAGGAAAACTCCATTCTTGAGTGCTCTCCAGAGCAGGAACAGACACCACACTGTCCACCCATTTGTTACATTACGCTTTCTGCGGGCAGAAGAACATATGGTGAAGGCAGGAGAGGGAAGGAAGGAGCCCAGATCCCCACAACTGACAGAAACCGTCCCTAAATTCTTTTAGTTGTTTTTACGGTGACATTGTTGATTCCTGCTGCCTGATAGTGAAGGTGATGACTGTCTACTTGTACTCCTGGCTATTCAGCATCTACTAGTAAGATGTCACTTGTTTCAGGTTTTCTCTTGAAAGGTAGGTTGGAGAAAAAGAAACATAGCTGGTGCAAGTAAGCTAATGACAGCTTTTCCTCTGCATGGTTTTAAAAGGTTCCCCTTTGCTTCAGTAGGAGTATCAAGCGTTCAGACATTCTCACAGAGCAAGACTATGAGCTTTAAGACCTCTCCTCACTTTCCCTGCCTTATGAACATCGTCTGTGAGTGGAAATCTTACATTGCCATACTGTTTTCATGACTCTTCTCAATCTTCAAATGTACTGACAAAAGATGCAGACAGCCAGCACCCACTCTGGTGTCTTCCCCGGGTCATCAGCCTACAGAGACAGGGTGGCTTAAGGGTCTCATGGAAACTGCTCTTTTCTGAGCAATGCGAGGACACCACATACAGGAGGAAACCACATACAGAGAAACAGACAGAGAGACAATCCAAGTTTCAAGATGGAAGAGTGAGTGCTGTTGAGATACCAAGTAAAATGTATCTAGATGAATGTGTGGATTTTGGATTAACCCCTAAGTGGACATTTCTTCAAAAGAAGTATAAATGGGAAGAGGCTCAGAGTCACCTGCTGTAATTAATAATGGAGAGACATGAACGATAACACTTCAATAATAATAGGAAATGCCACTAATCCTCTAGTGAAGCAATAAAATAGAAATATATCATGCCTCCCCTCTTTCTATCTCCCTGAATTACCTGACGCATAGATCACAGAAATTAATCAGAAATAAAAATCAAATAATGAAATCTCTAGTCAGGATCCCCTTCTAGCTCTGGTCCCTCATATTCTGATTTTCTTCACTTCTGGGATTCCTCACTCTTTCCAGCCTCCCCCACCTTTTCTGTCTCCAGCACAACCAAAGCCAAACTAGAAAATCTGGGTTTTGCCAAACCAACTTTTACCATGATCTTGGTTCCCTCTCCCTGTGCGCGCGCGCGCGCACACACACACACACACACACACACACACACACAGCCTCCTTCTGTGCCCGCCCTCTACTCCCTTCTCTGTTTATGTCCTAAGTTGCATTTTTTACCTGCATTATTTGTTTTACTACGGTCTTGTGTTACTGGAGTCCTTTATTCTCCTCTGAGGCCTCTCTCCCTCCCTGCAAGCTTCGGTCACAGTGGCTTCTCTTTGTTTTCTCCAGCATCACCAGCTTTTTCCCAGCTTCTTCTGAGACATGACACTTGAAATCCTCGGCTTGAAACCTTGCTCCCACTGAATCTACAGATGTTTTCTTCTCCCAACTTGTGTCACTTTAGATGAATGTTCCTTTAATCCATTTTTCTGTGGGAGTATAGTACCCTTTTATTCTTTGTTTCAAAGAAACTCACACAATTTTGGATTCTATGGTTTTAATATTTGTTTCTTACCTGTCCATTCTGAAAGTCTGAGCAACAGAAACTCACTCTCTCTCCCTCTCTCTCCCTCTCCTCTCTCTCTCTCTCTCTCTCTCTCTCTCTCTCTCTCTCTCTCTCTGTGTGTGTGTGTGTGTGTGTGTGTGTGTGTGTGTGTGTATTTCATAAGCACTCTGTGTTTGACCCTCGGTATAGTTGTATGCGTGTGTGTGTGTGTGTGTGTGTGTGTGTGTGTGTGTGTGTGTCTGTGTCTGTGTGTGTCTGTGTCTGTGTGTGTCTGTGTGTGTCTTCAGATTTGATAAGCACTCTGTGTTTGACCCCAAATAGAAGCTGAGTGCTTGACATTTGAATGAAGAAACAAAAACCAAGGTTGCAAGGTGCCAGAATGAAAGCCCCATAGACACCTCCAAACCTGTTTCATGTAAGGATGTGATGTGAGGAGCAGCACGAATTAGTGGTGGCAGGAGAATTACTATTGGGTAGTTCCTTTGATATTTAGACTTCAAAGTTTTGCCTCAGAGAAGAAAAAAATATGCCAAAAGGATTAATGCAATAAATAGAAAATACAATCAGACAAATCAAAAGAAAACATAACTCCATGTGCATCTGTCACCCAGATCTGATTTCCTTCTAACCCTCTAATGCTCAGAGTCATCAAGGAGTAAAGTTATGCTATCAAATGAAAATATAATAATAATCTAAACATAATAATCTAAAATTCAGTGTAGGTGCTGGTGGGCATGTCGGTTCCTACAGCTGCTTATGAGAATAAATGGTGGTTTGGTGAAATTGGACATATGTAAGCACTACCAAAAGGGTGGGAACAGGGAAGGCATGATGAGGGAGCTGACACAGAGCCTCTAGGGCTCAGGTCATGTTCAGTGGGAAATCACATGTTATTAATTACACAGTTTTCTGTAGTTGAATTATTTCTTACTGCATTGTGTAACTGCTAACACTAAAAATAACATAAACAAAATCATACCAAAACAATATTATATTATTTGAAATATTATGTTATTTGAAAATACTCATACTACTAAAAGTTAAAAGTACTGTTATCTATACAGTTAGATAAGTCAAATAACTGTACAAAAAAAAATCACAGGAAGGGCAACAAATTGTTTTAAAATGTGCTCAAGCTCAATAAAAAATAAAACGCCAGACTAGATTTTCAAGAATTTGAGTGTCCTGTGTTGCCATGGCACAGTCGGAAGTTCCTCTTGCAGGTCTCCTCGAAATGCACCCTCTGAAGGTCACCACTAACTTTATACATTCATGATGTTTCTGATAAAAACTGCACACTCAGTTACAGATGATCTGTTTTGGTGTTTGATTCAGAGTCTTCCTTTGTAGACAAAGCTGGCCTCCAACTTATGATATGCCTCTCTGTTAGTCTCCCCAGTACTTCGATTATGCCTGTCCATTCCATTTCACCTATTGTCTCTATGCTCATCCTCCTTTCTGTTCCTATTCTTCCTCTTATCCTCCGTTTCCTAGCATCAACATCATTGTCTACTTGCCTGAGCCTCCTGAGAATTAAGATTATAAGCGTGAGCTTCCAAGGCTAGTTGGAATAATTATAATAATAATTTTTACTGTAACTTTCAACATTTGAAAGAGTGAGATGAAGTCAGGCATGGTGGTTCACTCCTTTAATCCCAGCTGTGTGGAGGAGGAGACTAGAGGATCAGAGTCCAGGGTCCTCCTTCACTAAACAGCGAACGTGATGCTAGACTAAGCTTATGGGTGTCTGTCTCAAAAACAAGCAAACAAAATGTGACATTGATACCTATTAATAGTAAATGTGTTCATGCTCATACAAATCAGCAACATCCCCTAGCTACTTTTCTTCATAACCAATTAAACAAGAAATTGTATACAAAGATCTTGTAATGAATTATTTTCTTCCAGCAATTCAATTCAGTAACAAGTTCACATAGTGTATATAAGCGGAAGACTTTTCTGGGATGTTTTGGTTGTTCTTTTGTTTTTCCTTTTATCTTTTTCTCCCCTTAGGAAAAGAAAGAAAGGCAGGAAAGAGTTGATCGGAAACAAAAGAAGCGTCATTCCTACCTTGAAAGTGAGACACACCCTCCGTGGAGCCCTCCAAGCAGAACTGTGCCCTCTAAAGTATTATGACGATTCAGGCTCTTGATTTATCAGTTCAACAACTTTACCCATGGATTTCAAAGCATCCATCTCATTATTTGTGGTAAGAAGAATCTATTTTAATTAACTGCAGGAACTTCTGCTGAGCATGAAAGAGATACTTTGCAGTTTAATCAGTGGAAGCAATTTTCTCAAGTGTATATAAACTGCCTCAGACAAGAAGCCAATCAGATTGCTGGGACAATCCAACTGCATGAAGCTTTATCATGTCCTAACCATTCCTGAAGTGAGGTGATCTGTGGTCACCGTCACTGAGTTCTGTGTCTTTTTAAAGCATGTTTAATCCCACTGATGGAAGGATGCCATCTAGATACCACAGTCATAGGAACGAATCAGTCTTTGGAAGCTTGTGCTTCTTGGTTGGTGTTGGGGATGAACGGTCCCTGGGGAGGATGGACGTATTCTTTCTTCTAACCTGATCTTCAGCTCAGAACAGCATCTTTGCTTTGCTTGCAAGTTAGAATCACACTCAGTTGAGGCCACAGAGCTCTAGGCAGCAAGTCACTTTAAGAACTTTGCCTTATGGTTTCATCTCAGTGTGTGTTGCCTGTGTGAGGCTTACCTGACAATCATAGCCACTTCTAGAATGGGCTCACTTCTGAAATTTTTCTTTCTAAATTGGATCTCAATTTGCTTGTTATTTGGTTAACACCAAAAGTCATCAATTTGATGGTGGTGGTGTCTTATAAAGTAGTTGGGACAATTTCATAGGGGTTCAGGGTCATTATAAAAATTCTTCCTAGAGTACAATTATAAAGATACATGAAGGCAATTCCAACCTTCTTAACTAATCTTAGAGTATTTCAACTTGCGTTAAGAAGCAGCTGAATAAGAAAGTAAGTTTGTAAAAAATATTCAAGAACTTATTTATTTATTTACTTGTCCTATGCTTCTCCCTGTATGAACTGGTCTGCTACTTGACTGGTCAGCTCTTAAAACAGACCAGTTGTTGGAATGCTGCTCTAGGCAACAATGCAATGCAAAGACAATCCATGGAAAACATAGTTGTTACTGTTCATAAGCTTCTTATATCATCTCTGCTGGATCTTCACAAATGTGATTTGTCAACTTTTTAACAATTATTCACAGTAGGTGGTATTAGCTTTATCGAGGCTTATAAAGTCCAAAATAACTTGCCATACAGCTAACACGAGTGGTGGGACCAAAACCCACTGTCACCCTCTTCCTTGAGACCTGTGTGACCTCAGAGACTGTGGCTGACTTCTGCGTTAATCAGCCTTGCAAGTGCTTGTCATTCCCAGGGTGTAAATCATGCACTGCTGGTGAGACATGCTCCTTTCCTAGTGCCTCCAGATGCTAGCCCTCCTTAGATGTATAAAATGACATGAGGGTTTATGGGATTTCAGATGTTCAACAAACATGGTATCAATAAAGCCAGGAGCTTGTGTGAGACCCAAATGTGGCATGTGCACAAAAGAGGAAGTCATGAGCTACTTTGTAGCATTACAGAGCACACCAAAGACATGCACAGATGAAGCTAGAAGTCTTTGATACTGCCAGAAGTGGTCCCTGCAAGATTATCAACCGAGTGCTGTCGAGATGGGATTCAGGACTCCAATTTGTGTGTTTTCCCAGAAGCAACCACACCCGCCAGAATATACTGATAATGGCTTCTTGTTAAATAGGTAGAGATAAAAAAAAAAGGGGGGGGGGTTGCACATTGTAAGAAATGAAAAGGAAGATCAGACAAAGGTGTAGTTCTTCCATGCTCACTTTGTACAGTGTGGTATTGTTGTTGTTAGCTCATAAATCATGAGAAAGGGATGACAAAACTAACGTGAAGTGTTTTGGAACATAAGGACTCAGTAAATAGTATCGTATTTATTTACCACAGTCCCTACTTCATGGAGATGAGATCAATGTGGTGTGAGCAGTACAGTAGTTATTTGGCACACTTTAACATACAGAAGAACTCAGTCTTCTGGTCCATCTTTGGTGTACCAGTTACAGTCAGGTGTTGCCAGGAGCAGGACTGTCTGAGAAGACCTCTGAATACTGGTTTTTAAGATTGTTTCTGAAGAGAATTAAGTGACAAGTGAAGATGTGCCCAATGGCCCAAAATGTCATTCCCTCAAATGTGATTTGGGATGAGTATGGTTATAGAGTAAATAATAGGCCTTTCCCCAACTTACAGCAACCTGTATTAAGTCTTATGAAGTTTATCTAGTTAAATACAGTTACCCCTTCTCCTGTAGTAAAAATAATGCAGAACTTTGGACAGTGAGTGAAAACCAATTCTGTAATGTACCAGTATGAGTTCCAGAGGGAAGACTCAAGCCTGGTAAGATTATCTTAATGTATTTGCCTATTTAAGAAATAAGAATTTCCCATATTTCCTTAAAAAGTACCAAATATTGATATAGATTAATTTATTATAATGAAAAAAAAAAACTCTTACATGAAAGTAAATTCCATAATAACAGCAAAAACATATCACAGGTATCAAAAGGAATAATACAATATTTTCTTTTTATTATTTAGAAACAATCTTGTTTTACATGTCAATCCCCCCTTCTGTCTCCCTCCCATGCCACTCACCGACCTCTCCCCCAACCAAACCCCCCCACTCCCCAAGGATAGTGAGGCCTTCCATGGGTGATCATCAAAGTCTGTCACATCATTTCAGGGAGGGCCTAGGCCCTCCTCCTTGTATCTGGGCTGCAATATCATCCCTCCATAGGGAATGGACTCCCAATGTCCATTTGTGAACTAGGGTAAATACTGGTTCCACAGTTAGAGGACCCATAGACTGCCCAGGACTCCTAACTGGCACCCATCTTCAGAGGGCTTGGTTTGGTCCAATAATACGATATTTTCAATGTGGAAGAATTACTGTTTCCTTAAGGAAGTAGAGTAAGAACAACTCAGTGTAATGGTATTCCAGTAGTCTATGTATGTGAGTGTGACTCTTGAAGGTGATGGCTCACTAGTTGTTTTAGGTTTTAGGACAGCTGATGTTTTTTTACTGTTGCCAAAGAGGTACCTTGTAGGAGCTTGATAGCCACAGTTAGATGCTCCTTGGAGTGATGTAGCTGTTAACCTGGACAAGATTCTATTTCCAAGTTGCATAATCTAATGTCCAACATTTTTTCCAACCTCAGATGCCTAATGTTACCATTCAGGTTGACAGCAAGCCCTTTGCCCATCATTCCCCAGTTGTGGTAGCCTGCTAACATGCTCACACCAACTTTGGTTAACTGTGGTTGTTGCTCCTGTAGCTGACTGTTGCTCTCTCCTGTTTCCCTTTTCTCCCAGCTTTCCAGGAGAACAGCCGTTTGGGTGCTCAAACTGCTGTTTAAATATGAGAAAATAGTGGTACTTCTTAAATCCTAAGTCATGGCCCAAGACACAATAGAAAAAGGGGGCTTCACAAAATAGGGGAAAGTGCATGCTAGTCAGAATCCCTCTGAAAAGTAAGATAGTACAGAAAACAAAGTTGCCTATTTTAATCCTGACTCTTAGTTCAATTATACTGTACTAAAAGGCATTTAAAAACCCGTATGTGTCCATTCTACAGAAAGCAAATGTGTTATTGATTTTTTCCTTATCCCTAGTTACACTGACTGATAGGATAATGAAATACTATGTGGGTGCTGAACTGGAAGCTTTTCCAAGCCCTTTTATTGTAAAATGTCATGTGATACTGCTAGTTTGAAATGCTATGCTACATAGAGTGGTAACTGTGTAAGGGTAACAAGAGTATGTGAAATTCTTGGTGCTGAAATTAGGGTGTCTTTGGGATTACTGGGGGATATATATTTAATGCTTGCTCCTTAGTAATACACTTTTGTTTCATACTTAATTTATTAAAGGTAGCAACTCATGGTTGATTTTATTGGGTGTTATAATTTATTGGCTGTAAGCCAAGTGTTAATAAATGTGAGCTAAAGATAAAATATGTCGTGTTGGTATATCTTTTATAGGAATTGAATAGTGGACAGGAAGTGATTTTCAATGTAAGACTTGGATATGAAACTGATTTTACTGTAAAGATTGCAAATGTGACATCATTATTAAGTGGTTAGAAAATGAAGATTAGTGAGGTTGACGTGTTCCATCTCTCTGTGATCACTGAAGTTAACCTGTCTTTATTTCCTTGGAGTATTCTGTCACTGGATGTAAGAGGGTGGCGGAGGGAGCTCCTCCTCCACTTCTCTAGGTCTCTGTCTCTCACCACTCCCTCTGTGTCTATGTTATCTAAGTGTATATACATATATATGTGTGTTTAGAATGTTTATTTCATCATTGAAATAAAAATGAGATCAAGCCACCATTTGGTAACTGGATTTTTTTATTAAACAATTCATCAACATATTTCCACAATAACATACCTTTAATCACTTTATGCTGTACCTACAATTTATTTCTAGGTAATTTGTCCTTAAAGTGTCATAAGTGGATAGCCAATATCTCTATAGTAAATATCCATAATAATGATGGTAAGCCTCACTGAATTCATATATGCAAGTGAAAAGTGACGAAAATTAAGTATTAGAATGTCAGAAAGCCCCTCAGGCTTTGTGATAGAGGTGTTATACAAAGGCCCTCCCTTGCTACAGGCTACCTATGAGGCCAAAGTCATCACAGATCATGTGGATCTTTTAAAACAATGTCTTCAGTGCCACACATTTAGTATGTCGCTTCTCCCTAGATATTCTGTCACCAAGCCTTTTCTTCTTCACTATCAAGTCACATATGCCATTCCTTCAATACATGCGAGCGTGTGTGTGTGTGTGTGTGTGTGTGTGTGTGTGTGTGTGTGTGTGTGTGTGTGTGTGTGTAAAGGGCCTCTTTAAGCTTGACAATTGTTCTACAATGGAGCCACATTTTCAGTCTTGTATTTCACATGTAACCCATCCGAGTGTATTCACTCCCACCATCTAGTTTTCTGAAAAGGAAATTTTATTTTAGTTTTGGCCTTTTTTCCTGCTGTACATGCAAAATGACCATAGACCTGAGGAGGCAGACAGGGACAGGAGGGATGGATGGGAAGGGTGCTTGGCAACAACCAATAGTAGCCCAGGTAAATTTTCTATTTTTAAATCTCACTGACCATATCTCCTAAACAAACAGCTCTCAGCACTGACCCTGGAAGTTCCAAATGAAACAGATCTACAAAGCTTCCTGGTTCCATTTTCTTTCCCAGAAATTCCCAATTGATGTGCCAAAGATGCACACATGAGTGAGAGTGCTCTGATAGACACAGACTCTACAGCGTCCTCAACCAGCGTCCCCATGCAGTCAGTCACTTATGGCCATGAACTATCTCATATGACCTTCCGGGAGAGTGTCATCTGGGGGACTTGGGCTTGTTGATATGTCACTCTGTACCTACAAATTGCTGCAAAGTGAGGAACACATAGCAGTTAGTGCTCTGCCTCAACCTTAGAGTCTACTGTGACATAGAGTCCACTTTGTAGATGGGCTGCATTGGAGGTCATTTTGCATGTTTGTGAACTTAGGAGAGCTGAGTTCTAAACCACCCAAGAATTACCAATATGGGGTATTGTCCAGCTACCAAGCGAGGTAGGTGTTACCTGGAGATTAAATGGAGTCTCCCAACAGATGTAGCTCTCTGCCTTCGGGCATATCTGGCTGCCAACACTTTTTTTGAGGGATATACTGCGGTCCCTGGAAGAGAGAAGGGGTCCTTTCATAACTCAAACTTGACAGCCTGCAAACTTTGATTATTTTGGCAAACTTTAATAAAATATTCAATGACTTTCTTTGACTTTGACAAAAATTTCAATGACTTAAAATCCATTTATTTTGTCATAAGAAATTTAGCATTTCAATTGCTAATAAAAGAAAAGTTATTTGATTTTTTTAAAAATATAATTCCAACAGTATGGATTTGATGATGCAAAATATGTTTTCAAAAATCTGGAACTACATCAAAATGAAATACTTCTGTTCAGCCAACGAGACAGTCACCAGAAGGAAGATCCATCCTACACAATGCCAGGAAATATTCAGACTATGCATCAGATAATGGGCTAAGAAGCAAACATCAATGGGCTCTTTCATTTTACATGTTTGAGTGTTTTGCCTGTATGTGTGTCTGTGAACCATGTATATGTCTGGTGCCCATGCAGGTCAGCACAGGGTGCCATCTATAACTGGGGTTACAGATGGTGGTGAGCTGCCATGTGGATGCTGGGAATGGAATCCAGGACCTCTACAATAACAGCAGTCACTGTTCTTAAGTGCCAAGTCATCTCCCCAGGACCCATGAATAGCCTTATTTCAAGTGGACAATAGAGCTAAGTTGACTTTTCTAAAAGTCAAAGAGCCAAAAAATAAATAAACAAAAAATGGGCAGTCTCACCAATCATCACAGCAAGGCAAATCCAAACCACAGCTAGTCCTCTCCTGTGCCAGGAAGAATGGCTGCTGTGTAAGAATAGAGAGAGCAAGTGATGACAAGGATGTGGCTAAAACAACTCTTCCACTGCTAATGTGAAGGCAAATTAGCATGGGTATGGTACAGAGAGTCCTCAAAAAACTAGAGATAACTGACAAAACGTTTAGAAGTCCTACTCCTGACACGTCACCTTACCTAGGAGACCCCTGCATACCTGTGTTCACAGCAGCACAGTTAACATTGGCCTAGATGTGCCATCAACTAGCAACTAGGGTCTAGCAACCGAAGAATGAAGAAATATTCTGCTACAAAACCCTAACGTGTGTAGCAACAAAGATGAAAGTGATCATTATGTTAAGTGAAATAGCCCAGGTCCAAAAAGTAAAGCACCACATGGTCATATGGTCTCAATGTGGCATCTACAAGAATGTTGTTTCATAAAAATTGTACAATGAAGGTTTTGAGAGCAAATGAGAAGAGGTGGGAATGAGTTACAGCGAGACCACAGTAAGGAGTCCTAGCCCCCTGGTGGACAGTAAGGTGATCACAGCTATGATGTTCTGTGCCTTCCAGAAGGTGAAGGGAAGGGTTTTGAATGTTTTACCATAAAGGAATGACAGGCACTTGAGGAGATATGTGGTACTACCCTAATTTAAGTGTACAGTGTACGTCACATAGTATCCCATTAATATACAGAATTTTTATGTTCTTAAAGGTTTAAATTTAAAAAACCTTAGCATGTGAAACATATAAGACTATGGTGAGTATAGTCATAAACAGCATCCTAGACCAATGAGAAAATAAGAATTTAAGTCTAAAAAAGTAAAATTTCTTCTATAATCTTTTCTGTTACTTTCCATACTAATGTTTTCCATCAGAGACAAAAAATGGGCAATATGATGTGCAAACACATTTTCTCTCTTATTCAGACACAAGCTGTCTTGTCCACAGGGATGAATATTCAAGATGTTTTATAGTACTAAACACATTGATCAGGATTCTATGCAGACAACTCAGGTAATTAAATCACATAGGAAAAATGCTAAA